ACGGTAGCATGAGGCGGCTCAAGGCAGCAGTGGCAGGGGAAGAGTAGCGCGCAACTACAGCGTCGTATAAGGTGTGAGCACTCTTGTACTGACTAAAGTGTGCGCGCTCAGTGGTAGGCAGGTGGCGACGCACAGCAAGACGTGCAGCAGCATCGCGCGTGGCCCACTGGGAGAGAAATCGTAGCGTCAGCGTCAGCAGCAGGGGCAGGAGAGGTGCCAGAGGTGAGTTCAAAGAGGGAAAGACCGTCTGCCCTATGGCACTGTAGGAAAAGCTGCAGGTCATCTACCCAAACCTCAAAGTCAATGGCTCGACCCTCAGCGTCAAAAGCGAGAACACTAGGGGTAGCCATGACAGCAGTAGACTAGCAGTACCAACCGTAGGACAGGGGCAGTGCAGTGACAGAAGCGCTGCTCTCACCAGACAGGGCGGGTCGGGCAGCTCAGCAGTACAGCAACACGGCAACACGGCTGCTCGGACGGTGCAGCAGCAACAGCGGCGCCGTGGCACCAGCGGCTCGGCTCCTCAGGCGGCTCGGGCGGCTCGGGTGGCTCGGGCGGCTCGGGCGGCTCGGGCTGATCGGGCGGCTCGGGCGGCTCGGGTGGCTCGGGCGGCTCGGGCGGCTCGGGCTGATCGGGTGGCTCGGGCGGCTCCGGCGAGTCGGGCGGCTCGGGCGGCTCGGGTGGCTCGGGCGGCGCGGGCGGTGTAGGGCGGCAGGGCCGCTGGTGAGAGTGGGCGGTGGGGCCGCAGCGAAGGGGGCGGCAGGGCCGTTGGTGAAGGACGGCGGGGCCGCTAAGAAGGGCGGCGGGGCCGCTGAGGAGGTCGGCGGGGTCGCAGTAGAAGGGGGGCGGGGCCGCTGAGTAGGGCGGCGGGGCCGCAGCGAGAGAGGCGGCGGGGCCGCAGCGAAGGGCGGCGGGGCCGATGAGACGAGCGGCGGGGCCGCTGAGACGGGCGGCGGGGCCGCTGAGACGGGCGGCGAGGCCGCAGCAAAGGGCGGCGGGGCCGCGACGTGAGGCGGCGGGGCCGAAGCGAAGGGCGGCGAGGCCGCGAAGAAGGGCGGCGGGGCCGCAGCGAAGGGCGGCGGGGCCGCAATGTGAGGCGGCGGGGCCGCAGCGAAGGGCGGCAGGGCCGCGAAGAAGGGCGGCGGGGCCGCAATGTGGGGCGGCGGGGCCGCAGCGAAGGGCGCCGGGGCCGCTGAGAAGGGCGGCGGGGCCGCAGCGAGAGAGGCGGCGGGGCCGTTGAGTAGGGCGGCGGGGCCGCAGCGAGAGAGGCGGCGGGGCCGCAGCGAAGGGCGGCGGGGCCGCTGCGAGAGAGGCGGCGGGGCCGCAGCAAAGGGCGGCGGGGCCGAATCGACAGGCGGCGAGGCCGCTAGGGAGTTGGGGGCCGCTAGGGCGGCTCGACGAGGTGAGAGCCTGGAGCGCGACTCGGGCTGAGCGCGCTTCGGGCAGGAAAAAAAAAAAAAAAAACGATGTGGTGGGCCCTAGGCACAGTTCCCACGGGGGAACCTGCTCGATACCATGAGGAAAGTAGAACGAGAATGAATGACTAAGGAATGGAAGTGATACAAATATGCAACCCTAGAAATGTGTACCCTATATAGGCTACCCCACTATAGCCTACACAATATTAAAATTTGCCATCATGACGGTTGGAACTTTCGATCTGAAGGTTGACATTGTCAGAATATTATCTTATTGTTCTAGCCTGTAGTGGGGTGCTCTATAGCGAGTACAACCCTTCTAGGGTTTGCTATTTGTATCCTCATTCTTGCTAGTTCAATCCTCTTTCTTCTTCTAACTTTTGTCATGGTATCAGAGCAGGTCGATCCCCTTGGATCGATCCTGTGGGTGGGTTTCCACCTCGCTTCCGCTGCTACTTCTTCCTCCCGCCGTGCGCCTCGAGGCGCGCGGCGGTTTTCTGCCCGCCGTGCGCCCCGAGGCGCGCGGCGGTTCTTTGCCCGCTGTGCGCCCCGAGGCGCGCGGCGGGCTTCTGCCCTACGTCGCGGCCCCGCCCTGCGTCGCGGCCCAGCCCCTCGAAGCGGCCCCGACCGTCGCGGCCCCGCCCCTCGACGCGGCCCCGCCCTACGTCGCGGCCCCGCCCTGCGTCGCGGCCCCGCCCCTCGAAGCGGCCCCGCCCTATGTCACGGCCACGCCTCGACCGTCGCGGCCCCGCCCCTCGACGCGGCCCCGCCCTACGTCGCGGCCCCGCCCTGCGTCGCGGCCCCGCCCCTCGAAGCGGCCCCGCTCTACGTCGCGGCCCCGCCCCTCGTCGCGGCCCCGCCCCGACCGTCGCGGTCCCGCCCCTTGTCGCGGCCCCGCCCTCCAACCAGGCCCGTGGTGGGCCCCTTTCACCACACCGCCCCCCCCCCCCCCCCCCCCCCCCCCTTCCCCCTGCCATTTCCCGTCGTCCGTCGAGGCGACCTGAGGGGCGAGCTGTGGGGTGGCGGGTATGGGGGTGGCCGGTGTGCCTTCCTCCCTTGCTCCTCCTCCTCCTTCGTCTCCCACTGCTGCAGCTGTCGCTGAGGGGGGTGGTTGTATGGGAGACTGGGGTTTAGGGTTTAAGGGGGGGTGCGTGGGAGTAGAGCTAGCGGTGTAGCAGTGGGTGTGTATCAGGGGGGTGGGACTGTGTGCGGGAGGTTGAGTGGAGGTTGTCAGTTTGTCGTTCGCAGCACCTGTAGTCCGGGGCGCTGTCCCGGTAGCCCAGTCGTAGCCAGCTGTGCCAGCCGCCCGTGGGTCGGTTGCCCGTCCGCCGCTATTTGAGCCGCGGGGCCTGTTACTCCTGTAGTCCGGGCGCTGTCCGGTAGCCGCTGTGCCAGTGTGCCTCCTGTTGCCAGGGAGTCCCTGTGACGAGGATAATGTTTTCTTGAAGCTGAGTTTGACTTGTTTGGCTTTCCAGTTTCTCAGCTTCGCCTCGGTTCTATTTTGGAGATACCAAAACTAAGACCCTCATTCTGATGCTGATATGTACCATTTTCACGCGGATTACTTGTCATGCATCCAGCCGGCCCAACCGTACTGCTCCTGCGCCTGTCATTTAGTCCTACTACTAGTAGCTGTTGCCTTTTCTATCAATCTTTAAGTTTTTTCCATCATCTGCGCTTGGTCGTCCTGCTTCATTGCGAAGTTAGCTGTGTAAGGTATTTCCTGCCATGCCCTTGCAAGCAGCGCCAGCTAATTGCTTTCCCACTGACGCCATTCCCGTCAACGTGGCTAGTAACAGGAACGCGCCCTTACGCTGCTTCTGTACTCCAAGTGGCGTCAGAGCCTGAGTTGCCTGCTGTGCTGCTGCGAGAACTCCTTGCTTGACCCATTCTCCCGCTATCGACCGCATCGTTTTGAAGGCACCAAGGCATGATGGCGCGTTTGCACGGCCGCGTGGTGGCGCGGCGCTCTGGCCTCGTGTTCGCTGCACTGGCTGCTCTCATGCTCTCAGGTGTGCTCTCTTGCTCGTGGTTATGCGCTCATCTTCTCAGGTATGCTCTCATGCTCAATTGTGCACTCTAGTAGGTCTCACCGTATGCATGTCTAATTATTTGGCTGAAGTTTATCACGAAACTGCCAGTGGTGATGCTTCTCCTGACAAACGTTCTCCTCCTCCACCAATCCCAAACGCCGCGTGACGCCGCGTTGGTCATTGCCCTTAGCAACCTCGGCTCAGCTACTCTTCACCCCAAACATTCCCGTTCCGCTTTCTCTTTACCCGCACCTTCCATCTTCGTTCGCCCCCCTTTGCCCCGTCCCCTCCCCCCTTTTTCCCCTTTCCCCAGTTTTACCCCTCCCTCCTCTAACTCCCCTCCCCCCCTTTCCCCCATTTCCCAGCCGCATCATTTTTTTTCGTTTCAAAGAGGCTCTTTCGTGCAACTTGTGCGTCCAAACCCCCCCCCTCTTCAGCCTTAGGTTCCCTTATCCCCTCTTCCCATCCTCTTTCCTCTCTTTTCTCTCTCACCCCCCTCCCTCTCCCTCATCCGCTCTCAGCAATTGCGCCCAGGGTATATCTACCTTTCCTTGCCTCATCCTAATCCTCCTTCCTATCTTTCGTATTCCCCTTCTCCTGTCACCTTCCCCTCTCCCTCATCCGCTCTCAGCCTGTGTGCCCAGGGCCGTTTCTGTTCGCCTCATTTCTCATCCTCTTCCCTTTCATTTCCTCCCATCCCCCCCCCCACCCCTTGCCCTCACCCTCATCCCTCTCAGCCTGTGCGCCAAGAACTGCTGCTGTTCGCCTGCCAGCTGCGAGTAACGCCCCCGACCGTAAGTCAGCAGCCTGTACTTACCACCACACCAGGGCTGAAACGAAACACTTGATAGGGCTGCTGAAACGCACCATTGCCAGCTCTCTTGCCCTCAAACCCTTAAGGATGTGACACCGGCTGCTGCTCTCTTTCCATTCACCCTGTTGGTTTGCATTTCCCCCTCCTGGCTCGTCCACACTTGAAGTATTTTCCAGACTTGTGAACAACCCCGGAGGATGCGAGCCTTGGGAAGAGTTGATGAGGCGAGCTGTTCCCAGCACTCTTTGCTCTCTCCGTTCCACCTATCCATGCTTCATCTTACAACCGTGCTCCTCTTTTCGCTGCTTTCCTCCCTCTCCCCGTCCCATTCCTCTCCTCGTTCCGATCTTCGACCCCTTCCCTCCTCTTTCTTCCTACTCGCTTCCTTCCTCCTTCCTGTTCCCTCCTCCCTCTCTGTTCCTTTCGCCTCATATTCGCCAGACTCGTGTGTGCAGCGGAACTGTGGCGCCAATGCGGTGTGCGTGAAGGACAGGGGCAGCGCCACCTGCGTCTGCAACGTTGGATTCTCCATGACGCCCACCGGCTGTGTTAGTGAGTCACTGCTGCTGGTGTGTTCTGCTGGTGGTGACTGCTGCTGTAGTGAGTTGTGCTGTGGTGAGGACTGGTGGTGGTGGTGGTGGTGGTGAGTGGTGAGTGGTGCAGATCAGTGGGAGGGACGTTGTGTTGGTTATTGGTGACGCACTGGCTTCACCATGATCCCCGCTGGCTGTGGGGATGAGTGTTGACGCGAATATGGCCCCGCCCTCGCTTGGCCTTGTCAGGTGCCAGGAGCCCCGTCAGGTGCCAGGAGCCCCGTCAGGTGCCAGGAGCCCCGTCAGGTGCCAGGAGTCCTGTCAGGTGCCCGTCAGGTGCCAGGAGCCCCGTCAGGTGCCAAGAGCCCTGCTAGAGCTTCATCCTATCGAGTCTTGTCTAGTTTGCAGCCATTCTCTAAATGCGTCGTTCGTCCGTATCCCCTTGTTCAACTCCCTCTCCGCTCCCCCTTTTCCCCAGACACGTGTGCACTCAAGGCATGTGGAGGCAACGCCACGTGCATCAAGGATAGTGCTGGGGTGGCGTCCTGTGTTTGTCGTGCTGGCTTCGTGCTGCAGGCTGACAAGAAGACGTGCACAGGTAGGCGTGTCACGTGTGCGCTGTGTGCTGCTGTGTGGCCAAAAGACATGCATGAAATGTACTGGGAGAGACGTACGTACGTCTGTGCTGCGATGAAATGCACTGGGAGAGACGAAATGCACTGGGAGAGACGAAATGCACTGGGAGAGACGAAATGCACTGGGAGAGACGAATTGCACTGGGAGAGACGAATTGCACTGGGAGAGACGAAATGCACTGGGAGAGACGAATTGCACTGGAAGAGACAAAATGCACTGGGAGAGACGAATTGCACTTGGAGAGACGAACGTCTGTGCTGCAACGCGTGTGTGAAAAGACAGTGATATGGTGTCTCCATCTGTCATTGTCGCATAGGGTATACAGAACAGAGACACGTGTGCAGTCGCTGCTCCCTCTTTCTCTTCCACCTTCCGTGGCAGACACGTGTGTGCTACTGAGGTGTTATTTTTCACAATTTTCAAACGTGGCTTAAATACCCCCCCTCTCCCCCCCTCCCCCCCCCCCCCTACCGCCCCACACCCCCCCCCCCCCCACCCCCTGTCTGACAGACACGTGTGTGCTCAAGAGGTGTGGGGGTAACGCCAAGTGTGTGAAGAGCGCTGCAGGAGTGGCGTTCTGTGCGTGTGACACTGGCTTCGTGCTGCAGCCTGATGGCGTCACGTGCACCGGTATGTGCCATGCCATGCCATGCCGTGCCATGCCATGCCATGCCGTGCCATGCCATGCCATGCCGTGCCATGCCGTGCCGTGCCTTGTGCAATGTCATTCGGACTGTGCTAGGCCATATTCTGCGCAACAAGAAAAACGTTGGCCATGTAGCTACTCTCGTTTTGATTGATTGATGACGTTGATGAGTCCTTATCTTGTTTTCCTCCCAGCATTATCAGACGAAAATCGACCTTGAAAGAACAAGAGAGATTTATGGCAAAGCTTTCAGATGTACTGCAAATCATAGCCATGCGTTGTGTTTCTTCTCCCTCTCCCCCTCGCAGACGCATGTGCACTCAAGGCGTGTGGTGGAAATGGCACATGCATCAAGGATGGCACTACTGGAGTGGCGTCCTGTGTGTGTGACACTGGCTTCGTGCTGCAGCCTGATGGCATCACATGCACCGGTATGTGCCATGCCTTATGCTGTGCCCTGTGATGTGCCATGCGTTATGCCATGTGCAACACCACACAGTATGTGTTAGGCTAGGCCACGTTGAGTTGGCCTAACGCTCGTGCACGTTCAAATTGACTGTCGCTCTCTCTCCTTTCATTCACGCTGCCTCAGTAGCCATGCGCTGCTGCTGTGATGCCTCTCTCCCACCCCCAGCCATGTGGACTGGATGAGCTGCAGTCGGGAAGTCTCAAAACTCAGTAGCCATGCGCTGCTGCTGTGATGCCTCTCTCCCACCCCCAGCCATGTGGACTGGATGAGCTGCAGTCAGGAAGTCTCAAAACTCAGTAGCCATGCGCTGCTGCTGTGATGCCTCTCTCCCACCCCCCAGACACATGTGCACTCAAGACCTGTGGTGTGAATGGTCGGTGCAACAAAGACAGCACTACTGGAGTGGCGTCCTTCGTGTGTGACACTGGCTTTGTGCTGCAAGCGGATGGCAGGACGTGCACCAGTATGTGCCGCTGTGTGCTTTTTTGTGCTACTATGTGTGTAGGCTTGTATGAGCTTTTGGGCGTGTTGCAGTGCCATTATGTGCTTAGAATTGGCTCGGATGAGCGTGTTGTGCTGAGTCATGCGCATGCTTGATGATAGAGAGCAGAGACGACTTTTCCTGTTCACAAAATATTTTTCCTCGCTCTCTCCCCTCACAGACACATGTGCAATCAAGGCATGCAGGAGTAATGGCGCGTGCATCAAGAACAGCACTACTGGAGCGGCGTCTTGTGTGTGTGACACTGGTTTTGTGCTGGAAGCGGATGGCAGGACGTGCACTGGTATGTGCCGCTGTGTGCAATTTATGCTTGTCTGCGCTACTTTCTGCTTAGGCTTGTTCGCGTTGGTGTCTGCACTGCTTAGGCTTCGCTTTAATGTGCAAGCTTTGCCGATGGCCTGTGCATGATTGCTGACAAAGGAGAAGAATTCGTCTGTTTACTGCTCCCTTTCCACACTCGCTCGCCTCCCAGACACATGCACACTCAGGGCCTGTGGGGGTAACGGCCGATGCATCAAGGATAGCACAACTGGAGTGGCGTCCTGCGTGTGCAACACTGGCTTTGTGCTGCAGCCTGATGGCAGGACGTGCACTGGTAGGTGCAACTGTGCTGTGCAATGTGACACCCTTATCGCTGCTGTATTCTATGGCTTCTAAGGAATGCATATAAGCGCTGCATTCGCGTCGCAAGTCTGCTTGTTCTGCTTGCAATGGCTCATGTGCCTGGCTCGTTTGTTTCATTCCTCTCCCTCCATCCCTGCTTCAGATACCTGTGCCATCAAGGGCTGCAATGCTGCGGTTACCGATTGCGTGAAGGACGCTGCAGGCGCCGCCTCCTGTGTTTGCAAGACGGGTTACCAGAACGTGTCGGGCACGTGCATGGGTATGTTTCGAACCCTGCATTCCGTAGTTTTCATGTTTGCTTTTCTTGTCTCGTTTCCCACTGGCCACACCAGCTCGGTTTCCACTGTCTTGGCTCGGTGCACTGGCTCGGTTCCCCCACTGGCTCGGTTCCCCGACAGGCTCGGTTCCCCGACAGGCTCGGTTCCCGACTGGCTCGGTCTTGACCTCACATGCTCGGCTCGCCCTGGCCCCGGCCCCGGTCCTGGCCCCGGCTCGAACCACTTGCTCCATGTCAGATTGTATCAAATTGTCATGACAAGCCAGTTTGGCGTTGCCACTCGTTTGCTCCTCCTGCCTAACATGCACTGCTGCTTTCGGCAATGTACCCCACACACACTGCATTCACCATCTTCTGTTTCTCGTGACGTCTAAAAGATGTACTGTACTTACTGCATGCCACGTGTATGAAGATTGGTTTTGAGACGTCTCAAAACCAATCTTCATACACATGTACCGTACGTACTGCCTGCATGCATGCACCATCTCCTGTCTCGCTCTGTCTGTATGCTCCCCTGTCCCTCACCTCTACAGGGCCTGCCTCGATGGGGGGTCTGCTCCCCACCCCAGGAGCCACCTGCACTGTGCTGACGTACAGCAAAGCACCCTACCCTACGGCCTGTACGCGTTCATGCACCCTCTACTCTCTCACTCTGTATCCTCCTTCTCTTTCTCCCTCACCACCACAGGGTGTCAGCGCCTGCCTCGTGTGGGGTCTGCCCTGCAGGAGCCACCTGCACTGTGGTGTTGTTCAGCAATGTTGCTTACCGCCTGCATGCACCTGGTCTTACTCTCTATGCTCCTCTCCTCTCCGATCTCCCTCACCACCACAGGGCCTGTCTCGTGTGGGGTATGCCCTGCAGGAGCCACCTGCACAGTGGTGCCGTACACCAAAGCCGCCTATTGCGCCTGCCCTCCTGGTTATGGCATGACCGCTGCTGGCTGCGTGCTCGGTATGTCCGCAGGTTAGGTGCTAGCTACCGTGTTTCCACTGGTTTCCTTCTTTGAGGCGCCTCAATGCCGCCTACTGCGCCTGCCCTCCTGGTTATGGCATGACCACTGCTGGCTGCGTGCTCGGTATGTCCGCAGGTTAGGTGCTAGCTACCGTGTTTCCACTGGTTTCCTTCTTTGAGGCGCCTCAAAGCCGCCTACTGCGCCTGCCCTCCTGGTTATGGCATGACCGCTTCTGGCTGCGTGCAAGGTGGGTGGGTATGCAATCAGCAGCTGTTATTGGGTTTATGTAACTGTAGAATCTGGGGTCTTTAGGAGGCGACTGCGTTCAATTCGAAGTGTTACCACTGGTATGTGTTTTTGAGGAGCCTCAACTATTTTTGTAGTAGGCTATGGCATGTTAACTAGCGAGGGGGTGTAGCTCACATGGTAGAGCGATCGCTTCGCATGCGATAGGTAAGGGGATCGATACCCCTCACCTCCACAACCTTCGGTCATTCTCACTTCTGTTGTCCTTCGCCCTTTTTTATAAAGTCCCTCTTCTCTCCTCCCTCCTTTCCCCTTCCAGGCGCCACTCCCACTGTCTCCTCTGCAAGCTTCACCTATTACACGCTCCCAAGCTTCGGCATAACACCCGCCGCCTACACCATGCGCCTCGCCTACAATGGCTGCACCAACCTCACAGCTGCCTCCGCGCCCAGCATCCAGTCATACTGCAATGTGGAACGGGCGCCTGGAGGGGTGGGCGATTGCACTGAGATCCGCCAGTACTACCAGCCGGGGTGTGTTGGAGCGTACAGCCTGTTCCCTGTCACGCCAGGGACCGGCATGAGCACTGGGAGTATTCCGTGAGTCTCTCTCTCAGCCCACTTACCTGCCCAGTGCGTGCCTGCCATCTCTCCACCTTGCCCACTCACTCGAATCGTCCTCCAACTAACCGGGTATCCTCTCTGATTCGGTGTCACCTGAGCTGAGACTCATCTCTGCATGCATACCAAATTTAACGTTCGCACCTTTGCCTGCTCCCATGCCTGTTTTTTTGCGTTCCCATGCAACAGCAACTGTCGCGGGTATCCTTTCCGCTCCTTCGCCTGCTCTATCACTGGTGGGTGTTCCTGTGTTGCTGGGTGTTCCTGTGTTGGTGGGTGTTCCTGCGCTGGTGAGTGCTCTTGTGTTGGTGAGTGCCATACCAGCATGTTCCAATGTTTGCCCCTGTCTCAGTTCCTCAGGTAGTGAATCACCTTTTGAGTTGACTAAAGAAAGATCTCACTTACAGATCTGTAACCGCCCACGATTTAATAACTACCCACAATTCGATTACTTCCTGCTGCAGAGGCTTTTTGGAAGTGCCTAAATTATCGCTTACTTCTCATTGTAGAGGTTAAAAAAATCTCAGGTCATGCAGTGCACGTGTCATGCAACCTCCCAATCCACAAAACTCCCTCTGCCTGCCCACACCTCCTCACTCACAGAGAAATGCGCGCCCAACACGTGTGGTGGGAACAGCACGTGCGTGCAGGACAGTGTGGGAGTGGCCTTCTGTGCTTGTAATGCTGGATTCCTTCTGCAGGGCGACAGCAAAACGTGCACTGGTATGTGCATCTGTTGCACCGGAAATGCTTATCAGATGAAGTACAAGGAGAGCCCCTAGGCCCCCTAACCACCTTCCCTCGCCTTTCTCCCTCTCCAACCCCCTCCTTCCACTGAAAACTAAGGCTTGGTATCCTTTTGGCCATTCCCTTAACCTGAGCCAGGACAGTCACTCACTGTCACTCTTGCTCCCGTTTCTCTTGTCGTTCTTTCTCTGCTCGCCGCGCTCTCTTCCCGTCCCTTTCTTCTGTGTATGGCCTTAATCTTCTGTTTGTATCGCTCCCTTCTTGCCTTAATCTTTCTGTTTGTATCGCTCCCCTCTTGCCTTAATCTTCTGTTTGTATCTCTCCCCTCTTGCCTTAATCTTCTGTTTGTATCGCTCCCCTCTTGCCTTAATCTTCTGTTTGTATCGCTCCCCTCTTGCCTTAATCTTCTGTTTGTATCGCTCCCCTCTTGCCTTAATCTTCTGTTTGTATCGCTTCCCTCTTGCCTTAATCTTCTGTTTGTATCGCTCCCCTCTTGCCTTAATCTTCTGTTTGTTTCTCTCTCCTCTTGCTTTAATCTTCTGTTTGTATCGCCCCCCTCTTGCCTTAATCTTCCGTTTGTATTGTTCCCCTCTTGCCTCGACTCTCAGAGGCGTGTGGGACCAAGATCTGCAATCCCACGACTGACTGTGTGAGGGACGCTGCAGGCGGTGCATCCTGTGTGTGCAAGGCGGGCTATCAGAGCATCTCCGGCAAATGCGTTGGTGCATGCCGTGCCATTGTCATCTTGTCATCAAGCCCCAAAAGAAGGGCCATTCTATTGGCCTTTATCTTTCTAGCCTTGAGCTGATTTGTGGTTACCGCATCATCCTAGTTACATGGTATGTGGCCAGTTCTGTTCTGTTCCTTCCTCTTTGCACATGCTGCTGCATCTTAAGGTGCGCGCACATTGTGTCCTCCACCTTAAACAAGTTGGGAGTCACTTAAACACTGTGTGTTTCACACCACTTCAACCATTTGGGAGCTATTTTCAAGAATTCCGAACGTGCAGCATCCTTTTAAACTGATTCTAGTTGTCTGTCAACACACAGACACCTTTTTATATCTGTGCTGCTCTGTGTTTTGAGAATTCTCAAGACACGTGTCGCAGCACCGTGTGTGTTCTAACTTCAACTGCGCGTCTGTTGGCTCACATCATTCCAATTGTGCTGCTCTGTACTGCCCTCGATGCTCCTGCGTGTCCTTCCCTCTGTGATCCGTTACTGTGTTCTTTCTGTGATGTGATGTGATGTGATGTGATGTGATGTGATGTGATGTGATGTATATGATGTGATGTGATGTGATGTGATGTGATGTGATGTGATGTGATGTGATGTGATGTGATGTGATGTGATGTAATGTAACGTGATGTGATGTGATGTAACGTGATGTGATGTGATGTGATGTCTTGTGATGTGCTGTGCCGTGCCGTGCTGTGCTGCGCTGTGCTGTGCTGTGCTGTTCCATGCTGGTGCTGTGTATGTTCTAGGCTGTCTCTCTCTTCCCCACCTCCCACGTCCCCACCTCCCACGTCCCCACCTCCCACTCCCCCACCTCCCCAGGCCCCGCCACATGTGGGAGCTGCCCTGCAGGAGCCACGTGCACTGTTGCTTTCGGCTACATTCCATACTGCATCTGCCCTGCCGGCTATGGCATGACCAGCACTGGCTGCATCAGCGGTAAGCCCCAAGGCTTTTCACTGTGTACTAGAGGTGAGCTTTGAGGCGCCTCAAAACTCACTTTGGTGACATTTGAGTCGACTCAAAAATCACATATAGGTGAGTTTTAAGCCTCAATACTCATCTCGGCTATGGCATGACCACCAGTGCCTGCATCAGCTGTAAGCTCCAGGGCTTTTCACTGTGTACTAGAGGTGAGCTTTGAGGCGCCTCAAAACTCATCCCGGCCATGGCATGACCACCACTGCCTGCATCAGCGGTAAGCCCAGCACCGTCTGCGCGTTCTAGGCATGGCGATTGTTGCTTGCACTGTACGTAACACTGAGGCTGCGCACGCTCTCACTTCATTGTTTTCCCCGCCAACTCCCCTTCCCATCTGTTGAACCCCCTTGTGTTATGCTTCCTCTATCTTCTGCTTGTGCTATCGTTGCCTCGTCCCTGTATATTCTTCCACCACACCTTTTGCGTTCCACCCTCCTCTCCTTTCATCCCCCCCACCTTCTATGACTCCCCACAAACCCACCCTTCTCCCTCCCACCTTACCTTTTTTTCATTCTCATCTCCCCAGCCTTCTATGTCCCCATTGTTAGTGTTGGACCTCAATCTCAACTTCTGTACTTGTACATCATTTACATCCTCGATTAGTGTAGTTTGTGTTGGTTGAGTGTACACACACATCCCAACCCCACCCAAATGTGATCAACCGAAATCCCCAACCCGCCAACTGGAGATTTCAGCCCATCACCTTGGGATTGCCCCCCATTCCCTCTCCATCCATACCTTGCCCATTTCCAGTGTACTTCAGGGCCTTGAGCTCATTACCCAATGTATCAGTTCAAGCTCAACTTCTTGCACCCATACCATGCCATGCTGTCCCATGCTGCTCTGCTTATCTTTGCCCTTGGCCTTTCAGGCGCCACCCCCACCGTCTCCTCCACCAGCATCACCTTCTACGATCAGCCCAGCTACACCATCACGCCCACCACCTTCACCACACGCCTTGACTTCAACGCCTGCACCACCCTCCCTGCCTCGGTGGCTTTGAACGTCTGGTCGACCTGGCGGCTAGACGGGGCTCCTGGAGGGGTGGGGGAGTGTGTGAGTTTGAACCAGTACAAGCAGGAGGGGTGCGCTGGAACGTACAGGTCGTATCCCAGTGCATCGGACGGAAGCAGCATGACCGGGTTGGGTTTTACGTGAGTCTCAGATCGCAAGCAATGCGCGATGTTATATGCACGCATGAGACATGACACATGCGCACACAGGACTTGCACATGTCGTGACATGCACACACACACACATACATGCAGCACGACACGTGGCCGTGAAGTGCAGGGAATGCATGCACGACCCCCACCCATGTGTACCATGCATCCCTCACCCCTGTTTTCTCTTCTCCCTGCATGCGTACGCGCAACAGCAAGTATCTCAGGTATCCTTACCGCTCCTTCAGCTGCAATGGTATCGGTGAGTGCTGCTGTGTTGGTGAGAAAACAACAATGCATTCCATGATTCATGTGATCTATGGGGCGGAATATTAATGCTGCTGTGCCTATGAGTGCTGCTGCTGAGGTGGTGAGAGGTGGTGAGTGCTGCTGATTCGGTGAGTGCTGCTGTGTTGAGGGTGCCACTGAGCTTCATTGTTCGCCCATAGCTGGTGTCTCAACCTACAGGTAGAAATTTAGAGTTTTTTTTTTTTTTCATACTTGATTAAAACATTTCAGTACACAGTTTCCTTCCGCCCTAAATTTTCCAGTATTTTGATGCCCACATTTCTGTGTTGCATGTACTGCAAATGCAAATGGCAGTTCATAAGCCTTCCCTGGCAGGGAATCCCTGCTGCTTGCATTGCGTCGTCATACTCGACTCCCCTTCACTTCCTTTCACATGCCGTCCCCTCACCTACAGACCGATGCGCCAGCAAGATTTGCAGCGAGAACACCACGTGCATTCTAGATAGTGCAGGAGCAGCGGTCTGTGTTTGCAAACCCGGCTTTCTTCCGCAGCCTGATGGCGTGACATGTGCTGGTACGTTCCGATGTCTGTTAATGTCTGCTGCTGTGTTCTGCCTTGTTTTTGGGAGGGTACATACGCAGTTATCTCGGGTGGGCAAAGCAAAGGTTAATCACTTGCCCACAATACAAGCTGGTGAGCCAGCGCATTCACACCTTACTAAGACAGAAAGGTAGCACTTTCAGGGCCTTTTAGTCCCTCTCGTTCTTTTTCTCTTCCATTACCCCTCTTCCTCTTTCCACTGCTCTCCCTTTCCCTCTCAGTTACACTTTCCTGTGACTTTTTTCCATGACACTCCCCTCCCAATCTCCTCCCGCAGAGGCGTGTGGGACCAAGATCTGCGATCTCACGACTGACTGTGTGAGAGACTCTGCAGGCGGTGCATCCTGTGTGTGCAAGGCGGGCTATCAGAACAGTACCAGCAACAAGTGCATTGGTATGTGTGTGCGGTGCTGTAACCCTTGAAAGTAAAAGTAACCCGATACTTCATCGTGTGCTGTCACATTCATTCTGTCATTCATTATGTGTTGTGCTGTACCTGACTATCTGTGCCGTGACATGGAATGCTCTGATGTGCTGTGCTGTGCTGTACCGTGGGTTGGCTCCGGTGGGGAATGCTGTGCCCTGTTATGCTGCTGGGTCGTGCTGTGCGGTGAATCCCCTCCCATGGCCCCACCTCCCCATGGCTCCACCTCCCCATGGCCCCACCTCCCCATGGCCCCACCTCCCCAGGCCCCGCCACATGTGGGAGCTGCCCTGCAGGAGCCACGTGCACTGTTGCTTTTGGCTACATTCCATACTGCATCTGCCCTCCCAGCTATGGCATGACCAGCACCGGGTGTGTCAGCGGTAAGCCCAACAACACTTACTGCACTGGCTATTGCCAACCCCTCTCCCTTCTCTTGTACCCGCTTGTGTTAACTTTCCACTAGCAACACCGTTTTCACCCCTGCCATCCTGACTTCCATCGCCCCTTCTGTCCCTTCTTCCATCATGCCGGCTTCTCCGCATGCCCTTGCCCGTGCAGGCGCCACCCCCACCGTCTCCTCTACCAGCATCACCTTCTACGATCAGCCCAACTACACCATCACGCCCACCACCTTCACCACGCGCCTTGACTTCAACGCCTGCACCACCCTCCCTGCCTTGGTTGCCTCGAGAGTGCGATCGTATCTGCGCATAGACGGGGTTCTTGGAGGGCTGGGGGAGTGTGTGGCTCTCAACCAGTACAGCCAGGAGGGGTGTGCTGGAGCGTACACTTCGTATAACGGCACTTCAACACCGACCGGAATCGGTGCCATTGGTTATGTGTAAGTGACGACAACTCGAACCTTGTGCCATCATGACTTGAGCTGAGACCTACATGCTTAGTGCAGCGGATCTTGAATAGTTTTATTCAAGCATGCATGATAGACGGAGCACATCACATTCTCGTGTATCAGAGCACATCACATTCTCGTGTATCAGAGCACATCGCATTCTTGACATGGTGGGCGGAGACCTATATGCTTTGTGCAATGGATCTTGAATAGTTTCATTCAAGCATGCGTGACAGACAGAGCACATCACATGCTTGTGTACCAGAGCACATGCGTGATGCATGCATGCCTGGCAGAGTACATGTGCATCGTTCATGTGACAACACGCATAGGCACGCGCATGGCACGGCAGCACCAGCACCGCACTGCACCCACGAAGATGCACCCGCCCACCCACATGGCGCACGCCTATTGCGCACCCATTGTGCAAACATGCATGCCCAATGCGGACCTGTGCAAACACCTGTTGTATGTGATTGTAATCGGTTGTATCCTTCACTCCCCCTCCTTCCTTTGCATGCCATGTCCCTTAGCTGATTAGATTTTGTGCTCACCACAACGCAGCAACTTACTCACTCCAGTTGCTCCGCTCCCTCACTTCCGCGCTCTTATGTGCTCTGCATTTCTCTTACCCCGTTCTTCTCTTCCTTGATGAATGCATGCATTGATGAACAGTAACTTAACCACGTATCCCTTCCGTTCCTTCAGCTGCTTTGGTATCGGTGAGTGCATTGGCGGGTGTTTGCTCTGTTGGTGGGTGCTGTTGATGGGTGTTTGCTCTGTTGGTGGGTGGTGTTGATGGGTGTTTGCTCTGTTGGTGGGTGGTGTTAATGGGTGTTTGCTCTGTTGGTGGGTGGTGTTGATGGGTGTTTGCTCTGTTGTTGGGTGGTGTTGATGGGTGTTGGCTCTGTTGGTGGGTGGTGTTGATGGGTGTTTGCTCTGTTGGTGGGTGCTGTTGATGGGTGTTTGCTCTGCTGGTGGGTGCTGTTGATGGGTGTTTGCTCTGCTGGTGGGTGGTGTTGATGGGTGTTTGCTCTGTTGGTGGGTGGTGTTGATGGGTGTTTGCTCTGTTTCACATGTTTCACCTACTTATTTTCAATAAAAAAGCACCTGAAAGGCACGTTCACACTTTCCCTCCCTATGCTCACGAGCTGTCTGCATGCTCATACCAGAGTTCCCTTCACACTATGCCCTCCCCTCACTCATAGACAGGTGTGCTAACAAGATCTGTGGGGGCAACGGCACATGTGTTCATGTTAGAGACTAAGGACTGAGTCTATGAAGATTAGGAGCCTAAATTTCTCAAAATCGTTGGCTTGAAATTCTGGACAGAATCGTCGAGTTCACAAGAAACGTCGTCGGCTAAACTTGCATTGTTGGAATTGTCTCAAACTCAAGTATGTTGTAGCCTGTAACTAGGGCTATCTTTCCCAATTTGAATCGTATCAAATGGTGGAGTAAATCTCGAGTTATGATTTTCGGCGCACTAGGGGGTATGCTGCCACATGCTTAACTCAATCACAATGGTTCTCACAAGTTCCACAAAGTTACACACAAGAGAGTTAGGGTAGCACTAAACCAGGTAGGAGGGAAGAGGAGGACGAGAGGGAAGGTCCCAAGAGATTCCCCAACCAAGGAAACCCCATGCCACACAATTCCCTTCCCCATAGGCAACCCCACTTTCACATTTGTCACTTTCCCAACTCATGCCATCCACCTCAACCCACTTGGCCACACTTGCCAACCTGGTTTGGCTTCACCCAACCACATGGCAGCATTCTACAGTGATAGGTTCGAATTCCCAACCCCCAAAAGTCTGTACCCCATATTGAGTCAACCCCACAACTTCCCATAGTCGCCACAACCGAAGTACAGAAAGCATACGAACTCCAATGTTCGTAACTTTCTTGATATTGCTTCGATCGCGACGATTCTTGGCTCGTCGGAAAGATCTTGAGCAGTGGAGTCACTTCAGATATCTGCTCAAGCCAAAAAACATTCACACACACTCAGAAAATCCAAACCACAGAAAAACACAAATTCTTGCGCACGCTCATTTCACACATGCAACGCACGAACACATGATGGGAGGCAGACAGACGTGAATGCAAATGATAGCATCACATAACAGTTCAGGACAGTGCCGGAGTGCCCACTTGTGTCTGCAACGCTGGCTTTCTTCTGCAGCCCGACGGCGTGAATTGCGCTGGTATGTGTTGCGGTGCATCTGAGCTACTGCATACTGCTATCTGTCATTAAGAGGTATGCATAAGTGGTATGCATAAGCGGTCAACTCGACTGTGTACTCTACTTGTTTACCTTGTTTTGACACGAATTGTTATTTTGTTTCTTTCAATTTTATTTCCCAAAACCCAACCAAGGCAAGTCGAGTAAGACATGCTGAGAAAGAAAAAACCCAACTGTTGCTAGACTTGTTTGTGTTTGAGTTATTCCTCACTCGTCGAGGTTTAATTACTCCTGTGTGCTCATCCTTTTCCGTCTCTTCCCCACCCTCAGTGCCCCTCTCGTTCTTTCTCTCTTCCATGCGCTCTCTCGTCCCTCTTTGTTGCTTCTGTCCCTAAACCTTGTGTCCACTTCACTCCCTTTCATTCTCCTCCCACAGAGGCGTGTGGGACCAAGATCTGCGATCCCACAACTGACTGTGTGAGGGATGCTGCAGGCGGTGCAACCTGTGTGTGCAAGGCGGGCTATCAGAATAATACCAGCAACAAGTGTATCGGTATGTGTCTGTGGCATTCGCAAAAATACAAAAGTGGTTGTGTATTCTCTCCTGTACCGGACAGGTCTCATCCTGTTTTTTTCTGGTACAATTCAGCTCTGTTGTTCACCTTAATGGATGCATCATGTGCTGCCTTACTGCTTGGGTTAGTGTTTGTGGGCTGCCAGGTACTGCAATCTTTTTTACACCTTAAACAAGATATTGTCGCACAGCACTGCCGCTCTGTGCTTCTCCTGTTGCGTTATGCCAGCCTCTGTGCTTGCGTGTGCTCCAACCTGATGTGCCATGCTGTGCTGCTCCATGCCGTGATGTGCTGGGCGGTGCCGTGCAGCTCTTCTCGTCTCACTTCCCCATCTTCCCAGGCCCCGCGGTCTGTGCTCCGACGTGCTGTGCCATATTGTGATGTGCAATGCCATGCTGTGATGTGCCATGCCATGCTGTGATGTGCCATGCCATTATGTTTTTCTTCTTCTCACTCCCCCACCTCCCCAGGCCCCACCACATGTGGAAGCTGCCCTGCAGGAGCCACGTGCACTGTTGCTTTCGGCTACATTCCATACTGCATCTGCCCTGCCGGCTATGGCCTCACCAGCATCGGCTGCATCAGCGGTAAGCCCAACAACACTTATTGCACCCCCCCTCACTCCTTTCCCTGCCAACCCCTCTCCCTTCTCTCGTACCCGCTTGTGTTCACTGTCCACTAACAATACCGTTTACACCCCTGCCATCCTGACTTGTATCGTCCCCTCTGTCTCTTCTTCCACCATGCAGGCTGCTCTGCATGCCTTTGCCCGTCTCCTCTACTAGTATCACCTTCTACAAGCTCTCAATCTTTGGCAAATTACCTTAATGGCGAGTTACAGTCTTTCCTTGACCACCCTTCACGTTCCTCCTCCCCATGTTCCTCTCCCCTTGCCCTTCCAGGTGCCCTGCCCACCGTCTCCTCCACCAGCATCACCTTCTACGATCAGCCCAACTACACCATCACGCCCACCACCTTCACCACACGCCTTGACTTCAACGCCTGCACCACCCTCCCTGCCTTGGTTGCCTCGAGAGTGCGATCGTATCTGCGCATAGACGGGGTTCCTGGAGGGATGGGGGAGTGTGTGGCTCTCAACCAGTACAGCCAGGAGGGGTGTGTTGGAGCGTACACTTCGTATAACGGCATGTCAACACCGACTGGAATGGGTGCTGTGGGTTACGTGTAAGTGACAACAGAAAACGCATGCCTCTTGAGTTGGAATACGACGGGCATGCTTCGTGCAGCAGCTGGTTTTGGATTTGGTTTCATGCATGCCTGAAAGACACAGCACATCGCATGTTCATGTGACAGAGCACATGCGGGATGCATGCGTGACAGAGCACATGCATGTGACATCGCTCATGTAACGCGCAAACTTGCATGCATAGCACGGTATCACCCGCACCACATCCATGCATGTGCAGTATGACACCTGCATTGCACCTGCGCTGCACTCCACACACACACACATAGCGCACGCACAATGTGCACCCACTGTGCAAGCATGCACGCCTAATGCACACCCATTGTGCACTCACGCATTTCCAGTGCGGACCCATTGTGCACCCATGCACGTGCGATGCACCTGTGGTACATAACATCGCATGCTGTCTCTTACAAGTTGCCTCTTGCCCTGCCCCCCCTCTGGTTCCTTCACCCCCCTTTCCCCCCCTACCACATCCCGCTATCGGGTTGTGTGCACCATACCCAGTATCTTACTCAATCTAGTTCCTCTCCTCCCTCCCCCCCCCTCTCTGATGTTCTATGCCTTTTTCCTACCCCGTTGTTTCTGCATATAACAGTAACTTAACCATGTATCCGTTCCGTTCCTTCAGCTGCTTTGGTATCGGTGAGTGCATTGGCGGGTGTCGGGTGTTGTTGTGTCGGTGGGGGTGTAGACAAGTTTTTTCTTTGTTTCACATGCAGCAATCAGATTCATCTACAGATTTTCAAAATGCACTTGACAGTGACAGTGTATGTATTGTCAGCCCTTTTTTGCCCGCAGCACTAGTTTTGCTCAATGCATTTACTGTACTTACTGTGCTGTCATCTGCACAATGCAATGAAGTGACAGTGCACACCACACTAGTCTTCTGGTTCAAATTGCTGCGCAACCTTTGCAACCTTCCACACCACATTCTCCTTATGTTCACGAGTTGTTTGCATGTTCATACCCTTTCACACTACCCCCTCCCCTCACTCACACTCACAGAGCGGTGTGCAAACAAGATCTGCGGAGGCAACGGCACGTGTGTTCAGGACAGTGCCGGAGTGCCCACCTGTGTTTGCAATGCTGGCTTTCTTCTGCAGCCCGACGGTGTGACTTGTGCTGGTATGTGTCTCTGTACACTAGGGTGTGCTGCCGCATACTGCTACATGTCAAAAGGGAAGGTAACATGAGCAATTGATTTGAGTGTGTACTCGACTATTTCTCCTTATTTTCTCCCCAAAACCTCGATCAAGTGAAACTCGTGGAGTAAGAAAACGTCTGCTTTCGCTCGATTGACGTCAATTTTGCCTTTTACTTTCAATCTTTTCTGTAACGTTCGGTTTCACTCCTACGGTCCCCTTTCTCTTCCACGCTCTTGCTTCCTTCGCTGTTATTCTGCTAATCTTTGTTGTGCCCAAATCACTCCCTTCAAACCTTGTCCCGCAGAGGCGTGTGGGACCAAGATCTGCGATCCCATGACTGGCTGTGTGAGGGATGCTGCAGGCGATGCATCCTGTGTGTGCAAGGCCGGCTATCAGAACAATACCAGCAACAAGTGTATCGGTATGTGTTTGTGGCATTCGCAAAAAAAACAAACAAACAAACAAACAAAAATGGTTGTGTATTCTATCCTGCACCGGACAGGTCTCATCCTGTTTCTTCTGGTACTAGCACCTCTGTTGTTCACCTTAATGGATGCATCATGTGCTGCCTTACTGCTTGGCTTATTGTTTGTGGGCTGCTGGGTACTGCAATCTTTGTTACACCTTAAACAAGATATTGTCGCACAGCACTGCCGCTCTGTGCTTCTCCTGCTGCGTTGTACCGGCCTCTGTGTTTGCTTGATCTTCCTCTGTGACTCATCATATCAGTCTGCGAGGTTCCCTCGTTTCCTGTGCTGTTCTGTGCTCTGCCGTTGTGCATGGCTGTCTGTGCTCCATGCCGTAATGTGCCATGCTGTGCTGCTCCATGCCGTGATGTACTGGGCGGTGCCGTGCAGCTCTTCTTGTCTCACTTCCCCATCTTCCGAGGCCCCGCGGTCTGTGCTCCGACGTGCCATGCCATGCTGTGATGTGCCATGCCATGCTGTGATGTGCCATGCCATGCTGTGATGTGCCATGCCATGCTTTGATGTGCCATGCCATGCTGTGATGTGCCATGCCATTATGTTTTTCTTCTCACTCCCCCACCTCCCCAGGCCCCGCCACATGTGGGAGCTGCCCTGCAGGAGCCACGTGCACTGTTGCTTTCGGCTACATTCCATACTGTATCTGCCCTGCCGGCTATGGCATGACCAGCACTGGCTGCGTCAGCGCTAAGCACAGCACTATGTGCGCCCCACCCCACGTCACACTTTTCCCCGGCAACCCGTCCACCATCTGCCCTACACCCCCCTGCTTCATCCTTCACACGTTGCCACACCCACCGTCTAATCTTCTTGCCCTTGCCCATACAGGCGCCACCCCCACCGTCTCCTCCACTAGCATCACCTTCTACGATCAGCCCAACTACACCATCACGCCCACCACCTTCACCACGCGCCTTGGCTTCAACGCCTGCACCACCCTCCCTGCCTCAGCTTTCTCAAGCATCTGATCGCTTCTGCGCATAGGCAAGGTTCCTGGAGGGCTGGGGGATTGCGTTTCTGTGTATCAATACAACCAGGAGGGGTGCGCTGGGCCGTACACCCCATACGCCACTGCTACAGGTGGAACCGGCATGAGTGCCGTGGGTTACATGTGAGTCATACGTTGCAACCTGAAGCCTTCCTTGGGTGAAGGATATAGGATCCCAAATGGTTCACGCATGTATAAGATATGCACATGCACATGTGCCTTGCGCACATACAAGCATTGAGATTGCACCTTCACCCAAACGACACCAACAGGTATGTGATACTTGAAGTTTGTTCTTTCTCCAACTGTCACCTTCGTGTTCCCTCTCGTTCCTCCACTCCCCTTCCTCTCCCTTACATGCAACTTCCCCACCATTCACGTCTGCCAGTTTGGTTGTCACTCACTCTACGTGCGTCATCTTCTTTCTGTTTACCTTCTTGTATTGTTTCCCCCACTTCTGAGCAGGAACTATACTGCAAATCCTTACCGTTCCTTCATCTGCTTTCATTGAGTTTGTCAGCCAACTTTTGCGTACGGCAATTGAGCTAACAAGCAAATTTGCGCGTACCAACCTAATTTGCACCTGCATCACAATCGTCAACGACTCTCACCATGCCTTTCTGGAGGTGCATCCTGGGCCAATCTGTTGCTTGTTTTCATCAACATTCAATGAAAAAACGGGACGGTTGGCTGTTACGCAGACGTGCGTGCATGAAGGTCTGCTGAATACATAATGAAACAGAACCCTAAACCCTCTTACGTAACAACCAGACGAGAATAGCTTAAAAAAGAAATCATCAACAACATGAACAACAACATGAACATCATCAACTACATGAACAACATCATAAACATCAACAACAACATAAACAGCAACACCAACATAAACAGCAACAACATAAACAGCAACAACATAAACAGCAACAACAACATTAGCAACAACATTAGCAACAACATTAGCAACAACATTAGCAACAACATAAACAACAACATAAACAACAACATAAACAACAACATAAACAACATCAACAACAACATAAACAACAACATCAACAACAACATCAACAACAACATCAACAACAACATCAACAACATCAACAACAACATCAACAACATCAACAACGACATCAACAACAACAACATCAACAACATCAACAACAACAACATCAACAACATCAACAACAACATCAACAACAACATCAACAACATCAACAACAACATCAACAACAACATAAAGAGCAACATCAACAACAACATAAAGAGCAACATCAACAACAACAAAACAGCAGTGATAGCGATAGCACCCTGCAACAACAACAACTGTCTGCCCGTAGTGCGTCTTTTTCTTTATTGCTTTGCAGTATGTCTCTTATTCTATCGTGAACTCAACCGACAACTCTCTCGACATTCTTGGCCTAGGCTCCTAAGCCTAGGCCCTAATTAAACCCTAGTTCCAAAGCTACGTCCATACGTTGACATGGTATGGAGCCGGTCGTTCCTCACATAAGCCCACCGCCCCTTGCCCTATTAGCCTGTCGCCTTGTCGCCCCGTCGCCCCGTCACCCCATCGCCCCGTCACCCCGTCGCCTCGTCGCCCCGACGCCCCATCACCCCGTTCGTGCCGTGACGTGGCCCCTTGCGGGCCCTTCGTTCAAACTGTAGCGCGGCCCCTCGCGGGCCCTTCGTTTGGACAGTAGCGCGGCCCCTTGAGAAGAAGTGAACGAGAATGAAATGACTATGAACGAAGTGAGTACAAATAGGAAACCCTAATTGGGTTGTACCCCCTATGGGATACCCCACTATAGCCTACACAAATAAGTAAGCTATATGTTCTGACACACCCCCATAGGCAAAGTGGGGGAGAACAAGGGGTCACAAGACCAGTCAAACAAAGCAAAGCAAAGCTCAGGGTGGATCACAAAGTCACCACACATTCCGAGCACAAGTTCAAAGGCCACAAGGCCAGTTCACATGCAAGATCATATATAAAGATATACAAGAGTCAAGTAAGCAAGAGCAAGAGTATATATAGGTGAAGGTACAAGCAAGGTCAAGAAGTGAGTAAGTGAGGCAAGACGGGCACAAGACCCAGCTGCGTGCAGCAACGCTGATGATCACAAGGCGCAAGTGCCTTAGTGAAGACATCAGCAGTGTTGGCCTCAGTGGCCACGTACACAAGTCGCAACTGTCCACGCTGCTGTAGCTCACGAGCAAGAAAGTAGCGGAGAGCAATGTGCTTTGTCCTGTGCTCCAGTCGCTGCTCTCGACACAAGGCCAGCATGGCCTTGTTGTCTACGTACAGGACTGGAGGAGAACGAGGCGGCTCTCCAAGGTCGGTCAGCAGGTAGGTGAGCCAGCGAAGCTCCTGAGCAGCCATAGCCCCGGCGTAGATCTCAGCCTCACAACTGGAGCCGAGAACAGAAGACGAGCGAGTAGCCCGCCACGAAACAGAGCCGGAACCAAGGCCGAAGGTGTAACCCTGTGACAACCGCTGCGTAGCCTGGTCGTCAGCCCAAGAAGCGTCCGCGTGCCTAGTGAGGACCACTGGACTGCGCCCTCCAAGCACTAGCCCCATGCCCGACGTACTGCACAAGTAGCGCAACACCCTCTTCGCTGCAGCCATGTGCTCTGGTCGGTGTCTCCCAGGAGCAACATAGCGTGCAAGAATGCTAAGAGGGTATGCAAGGTCAGGTCGAGTGCAGGTCATCAGGTACATGAGGCAGCCAACAAGTTCTGCATACGGGCCACTCGACTCTACGGACTCATCCGAAGGCAGAGCTGAGAGCGAGTGACGAGTAGGCAGAGGAGTGGCCTGAGGCGAGGAGTACGTGAAGCCGAAGCGCTGAAGGACCTGCTGCACCATGTGTGACTGAGTCAGGGTAATGGTGCGGCGTGCTCTGTCTCGGGTGATCTGCAAGCCAAGGTAGCTGTGCAGTTCACCAAGGTCAGTGCACGTGTGTCTCTTCTGCAGCTCGGACTTCACGTAGGCGAGTCCAGCAGTGTCAGCTGTGGCAAAGACCAAGTCGTCGACGTATACGAGGATGTAGAACGGCGGCAGAGAGGTGTCAGTGCGCAGAAACAGCGACGGGTCGGCAGTAGAAGGAGCAAACCCAAGTGCCGCAAGCGTAGTCCTCAGTGTGTCGTGCCACTCACGTGGCGCCTGGCGGAGACCGTAGACTGGACGCCGGAGACTCCACTGGGTACCAGGAGGGAAAGACCCAGTGAAGCCAGGTGGGCGACGCAGCCAGATCTCCTCGTGCAGGCTGCCCTGCAAGAAAGCAGTGTTGAAGTCGAGAGAGTGCAGCTCGTAGTCACGGTGAGCAGCAACGTGCAGCTGTACCCGAAGAGTGGTCATCTTCATGGTGGGGGAGAAGGTCTGAAAGTAGTAAACTCCCTGCCGCTGACTGAAGCCACGAGCCACGTAACGCGCCTTGAAGACAGGCGGAGAACCCGGCGGCCGCTTCACCCTGAAGATCCACATGCCACTGACGATGTTCGCCCCAGGAC